GTCCCTGTGTCCACTTGAAATCAATTGACTTGAAACACCATGACACAATTCCATCAGATTAATGATAAAAACCTAGAGAACATTATACAACTTCTGAAATACTCCTCCTGCTGCCTTGATATTATTCCAACAGAATTTTTCAAAGATGTTTTGCCTTGCATGGTCTCAGATCTACTTCATATAGTAAAACAAGTCTCTACATTCAGGTGTTTTTCCACAGGCCCTGAAAACTGCAATCATTAATCCGCTCTTAAAAAATAATAATCTAGATGCTTCAGTAATGAACAATTACAGGCTCATATCAAACCTCCCATCTCTAGGTAAAATCATTGAAAAAGTAGTTTTTCAACAGCTGAGTAATTTCTTGAATTCAAATAACTGTTTGATGTATTCCAGTCAGGCTTTCGACCAAACCACAACACTGAGACGGCTTTTGTTAAGGTCTTCAATGACATCCACTTAAACACAGACAGTGGCAGTTAGTATTATTAGAACTCAGTGCTGCGTTTGACACTGACCACAACATATTACTAGACTGACTAGAAAACTGGGTGGGACTTTCGGCAACAGTTCTTAATTGGTTTGAATCCTACTTAAGCTGTTAAGCCCCGAGCCTATTTTTCAGGTCTCAGGCTCGAAAATGACATTCCCAGAACAAATGACAATAACTTCCCTTCTAAAAAAGGAGTAAATTCATAATCTTTTTTTCTCAAAACAATGATAAACCTGTGAGTTGGATGTAGAAAAGTCAGAATCAATATAGATTTTTTTTTTTTTTAAAGTAAATTCAGATGGAACATAGTAAAAAAAAAAAATGGAAATGATTGTGTCCGTCCAAAAATGAACCATTACTTATAGTGAAAACCACACTTGACTGATGGGATAGTATACTAAAAGCTTTAGGAATCCAAACTATAACATATAATAAGTACCCTGTATCAAGATTGATTCAAAACAAGTGACATTTGAGCCTGAAACCTGAAAAACAGGCTTGGGGTTTAGGTTTAACAGGTTAAAGGACAGAAAAAAGGTTTAAATGCCATTTTCTGTCTTTCACTTTTGTAAAGCACTTTGAAAGGTGCTATATAAATAAACTTGCCTTGCCTTACTCTCTACACTGATGATTGTCGTACCAACACACCACATCAATTCATAATTAAGTATTCTGATGATACTGCAATAATATCTCTGCTAAGTAACACAGACGACCCTTAGCTGCACCAACAGGCTGTAAATCAGGTGGTTGAGTGGACTGATAACAATGCTCTTGAGATCAACACCAAGAAAACTGAGGAAATCGTTTTTGGCTCAACATCTGACTCCCATAAAGTCCCCATTGTCATCCATACAGATCAAATCAAGCAGGGAGTTTCGGGTGTAATGATTGACCGTCTGCTGTCATGGAAAGAGCATATTGAATATCTGTGCCAAAGGACAAAACAAAGAATGTATTTTCTCTGCCGCCTTAGGTCTTTTTGGGCGAGCAGAGAAATTCTTCTGTTGTTCTTTACATCTGTGATTTTGTCTGTTCTACAGCAGGGGTTCCCAAAGTGGGGGTCGCGAGATGATTCAAAATAAAAAATAAAATAATTTTGTTTTATAAAAAAATAATTATTTATTATTATCCAGTGTTTCCCACATTTGATTCTACTTGTAGGGGCACCGCACCCCCCACCCCCATGCAAATGAGCCATTATCTCATTAAATATGCACATATTTTAACACATTTCAGGAACACAATTCTGAACATTGGATAAAGTCAGGTTCGAAATTCTTGTTTCATTTTGTAGTCATATTAGAATCTAAAGTTTTTACAGAAGGGATTTAGGATATCTCTTTTTATCACTCCATACATCAGAAAATACTGTCAACAGCCCTAAAATATCAATTTTCGCCATGTTTTTTGGTATAAAATGTTATATAATTCAGGCTATGAATGATATATAAACAAACCCTTCTTTGAAAACCTTCATAATATTGATAGGAATATAACTGGAAGGTTTAGTCTATGTAAGTGCTACTGAAGTGGATGTTTCTCCTTCAGAAGAGAAAAAAACTCATTGAGAAAACAACCTTTAAAGATTGCTGTGTGGCGCTACCTAAACCCTCCTGTTCTCTGGATGACAGATTGCGCCTCGACACACACACTTTCTTTTTATTGTTCGGGATCATTTGTTTTTTGTATAACCTTGCTTCGTGCAAATTGTTGTCGTCTTCTCTGTGAACGTTTTTATCGCTGTTCTTTTGCCATTTTGAGATTTAAACTTCCAGCGGAAAGCTAACCAGGAAGTGTTTTAGCACACCACGTGACGCATCTGAACGAATCACGTTGTCAGAAATTGACAGCAGCCAATGAGATTTAGGTTTTTGGTTTAAGACCCCTTTGTACTTTCACGATGAAGGAAATGACCATATTTGGATCCGATGAGATTGTGCAGGAGAGACGGAGCTTTCCAACGATACCTCTGATTACATGGTGCAAACAGCGGTCGCGGTACTTTATGTTACGTTAGAATGCTAACTTTTGGTGAATTTAGGAGAAACCTACAGACGCAAATAGACAAACTATAGTAAAATAAACACTTAAATGTGTATTTTGTACGTTTTCCTTCCAAAAGCCTGAAAGAAAACATGTTATGGAATCAAAATAGCACAACATATCAAAATTGACCAGTGCATGAAAAACGATGTTTTTGCCTGCCGTGTCTCGCCTTAATGAGTGAGACACACCGGACTTGAGGATCTGTGGGTTTTGTATGTCGATGTAAGGGAAACACTGTTATTTGTTTTACTATTATTAATATTAACGTGTGCAGAGACATTTTTCAGGGGCGGTCTGCCCAGCTGTAGAATGTCTCGCCCCCGTTGACAATTCACTAACACCGTTCACATGGCGGGGGGTTGCCAGTCTCTGGCAAAGTGATTTTGGGGGTCATGGGCTGAAAAGTTTGGGAGCCCCTGTTCTACAGTACTGCAATGCTACCTGGTACAAGTGTTTGTCAACAGCTTTCAAATCAAAACTGCTCCACCTGTTAAAAATCTGCTCAAAGGTTGTTGGTCCACCCTGTCAGAGACTTTCTGACTCAGCAGACCATAATAACCTGAGAGGCTGTCCAACAACATCATCTGGGACCCAAAGCATGCTCTGAACAGCGAATATGAACTGCTGCCATCTAATGGAGATACAATAAAGTCAGACTGAAGCATCCTTTGTGCTCCAGTCAGTCCTCTCAGTAAATACAGAGCTGAATCCAGATCAAATGCACACTGAAGGCTCTTTGAGCAGGTTTTCTCTCACTGATCCTGCTGTTATGTTACATGTTTGTTGTTTGTTTCTCATGTATTGTGTCTTGATATTTGTTTATGTTGATGTTACACATGGAGCTGCTGTGATGCAAGTCACATTTCAGACTTGATCTGACAAATAAAGTATTATCGTATACAACAGGGGTGCCCAACCTTTTTAGAACCGAGAGCTACTTTTAAAGTTGCCAGTCTGCCGAGATCTACCAGTCCAAATAGAGAGGCGTAGCCATTACTGACAGCCTACTACCAGGTAAATACACACTTCTACTTGTATAAAACTGACCTTTGTACGATGAATACTTCATAAAATACTGCAGATCCTTTATCTTACCTCTTTCTAATCTACACAAGTATTTAACTGAAGTTACACAACAGTGTTGATACAGAGTTGGAGTTTATTCACACGTCACTACAGTGGGTAATGTTTTCAAGAAACATTGAACAGTGCTGCCACATATGACACAGGAAAAAAAGAAAATACTCTGAACCCTTTCTTTGCCATTATATAAAAATAGTGTTGCTACAAAAGTATAAATTAGGCTTACTAATAAGACAACTCAGATCTGAAGCTACTCAGGAATCTGCTGCCAAAGTGCAATAAAAAAGACACAATTAATAGAATCAAACCCTTTTTTTGTTGAATTTTAGTAGAGTATAAAAAGAAATGCCTTTTTAAAAAATAGGATGCAAGCAACACTAGTTTCTTAACCTGAATTGATAATAGACTATAATCAATTTAAACTGAACAGATCTTAATGTTCGCATTCTTATACCATTTTGTACAATAATTATAATGAATAAGTTCAAACAAACTAAAACTTACAGCTGATTAATAACGGTATCTAACTTGAGTTTTTATTATATCAAAAACCTGTTGAAATGCTTCTGTTATTTTTACTGTCCCCAAAAAGCGCGTCGGCAGCCTCCAGGAATGCTTCTTTCACAACTTCGCCGTCTTTGAAAGACTTCATGTGTTTCGCAAAAACGTGACTGACACGATAAGATGCTATGGAGCAGCCTTGCTCTTGTTGTTGGGCCTGGTGAAAATGGACTGCTGTGCATTTAGCTGTCCTTTCAGGCCCCTCCCCTTTTGGAGCGTAGGGCAGAATTAGGAGGGAATTCCGTCTCGTAGCGTTTGTGCACTGTTTTGAAATGCCGCTCCTAAATTACCTTTCTTCGATAAAGCCACGCTCGCATTGCAGATGAGACAGATGGACTTTGAATTGGAATAGATACACAAATAATCATCCTCCCACTCGGAGTGAGAATTATATATTTTTGGCTTTTTTGCTTCTGCCATAATTGCGGTCATTTGTGTGTGCGGACTGTCACTCCTGTTGACATGGACAACGTCAGCGCACTACCCACCAGCCACGCCACGACGCATGGGGTCACGCCGGCCAATCACAAAGCTTTGATGCGTTCAAGTGCATTATTCTGGCATAGGAAGATTATGTTATAGGACATTAACGATAAAACCGAATATTGTTGTTCTATTTTTAGACACATCTCGCGATCGACTGGGAATCTCCCGGTCGATCGCGATCGACTGGTTGGGCACCCCTGGTATACAACAACGTTCTAAGCTACATCTAACCATATTGTGCATTCATATTGTGTTTTCTAAACAGGTTGTGATCTTTCATTTGGGGATAACAGTGTTAGGAATATATTGTGATGAAGTGCACACTGACCTGAGCTCCACGGGTCTTTTTCTTCTCCTCCATGCTGCTCTCAGTGCTCCTTCTCCGGCTGTGACTCTGAAATAATCAACACAACTACAGCTGACACATAACAAGAAAACTCAATACAACTGACAGACACAACTAAATAAATCTAGAGCTACTTCGTAGGGTCATAGCAGAGGTGAGAAGTACTTGAGTATTTCCATGTAATGCTACTTTGTACTTTTAGAACAGCTCAGAGATAAATGGTGTACTTTTCCTCCACTGCATGTATTTAATCCCGTTAGTTACTTTACAGATGTGGATGAATGATGTGAAATATAATCAAGTGTTGAATCAGACTTTAGTTCCACCTGGAGTAAATTCACAAGCTACCCTGCAGTATACAAAGTCATTCAAACTAGCTGCACCTTCACCAGCTTTGAGAACACTTTATGATCAATCATTATAAAACATATCATATATATTATTCTGAAATGGACCAATCTGCACAATGACTACTTTTACTGTGGTGTAGTGCCGAGAGAAGGGAGTCGGAGGCGGTGCATTGAATGTGCAAAGTTGGATTTATTGAGCAGCAGAAAAACACATGTTGTCCGGTTGTAGTCCGGGAAGAGAAGAAAAGAAGAGAAAGGAGGGCACACAGTGGCCGTCGAGTAAAACTGCTGCAGAGCAACTATTTCAAGTATACTACGTCATCGAGTGGCGCCGCAGGACTGTTTAAATGCATGTTATGGTGAAATTCATTCTTACAATAAGCGAGAAATTGATTTAACTCCTGTTTGACAATAACTGTGAATTACATTTTCCTTTTATTTAAAATTAGAAATCAAATGTGATCATACACCAATAGAGCGGGTCATACTCAGGTTCTAACATGAATCTGAAGGAAATCCTAACATGGGGGTGTCTAAATTATGTGTTTTTTTATGGGGAATTCAAATATGAGTTTATTTAACTCGTCTCTAACCTACATGGTTTTGTATTTCTAAATAGGCAATTTTACCCTTTCGAACCTCTATATAAGATAGTAAAAGATATAAGGGAAATCATTTATATTGACAAAGCCAAATCCTTTTTAAATATGTATTAACAGGTGAACTGCATATATATATATATATATATATAACTGGATAAGATTACAAAGAGCAATCTTCTGACTTCTTGAACTTTGCCAGGTTGCACAAGTCCTGCTTTGACTCATTCTTGGACATCAGTCTCCTGCTAGTCGCCTGAGCTCTGATCCCTCCTCCATTCCTCTTTTGCTGTGAGAAGTACTTAGCAGAAGCCTCAGTCACCATTTTAACATCCCCGATTTCTCTTATTCTTCTCCTCTCTCTCTACCTACACTCATTCGTCTTTGATCAGACCCCCGGTATATGCTAGTCAGCGCCCCTAGTTACACCAATCAGCGTGCGATTACCGTACAGCCAATCACAACGCGTGACGTCATCCTTTTCCCCCCCTCTCTCCAAGTGAGGTTCTTACCCTCATTACCTCTGCCCGTCCTACCACCTGTCCTCTGGACCCTATCGCTTCAAACCTCCTTCAGACTATCGCTCCTGATATTCTACCGTTTCTCTCCCATTTCATCAACACTTCTCTAACTTCTGGTCACTTTCCAAACAGTCTCAAGGAGGCAAGAGTAAACCCTCTCCTAAAGAAACCCACTCTCAACCCGTCTGATGTTATAAACTACAGGCCTGTCTCTCTCCTCCCGTTCCTGTCTAAATCACTTGAACGCGCTGTCTTTAAACAACTCTCCTGTTATCTCAATCAGAACAACCTTCTGGATCCGCACCAGTCTGGTTTCAAGGCAGGTCACTCCACAGAAACTGCCCTCCTTGCTGTCACTGAGGAACTGCACACTCTTCCCTCTCCTCTGTCATCATCCTTTTGGACCTGTCTGCTGCATTCGACACGGTGAATCATCAGATCCTCCTTCGCACTCTCCAAGAACTTGGAGTTTCAGGCTCTGCACTTTCCCTCATCACTGACGACACCCAATTAATTCTGTCCTTTCCCCGCTCAGAGACCCAGGTCGTCGCACGCATCTCTGCTTGTCTAGCTGACATCTCTCAGTGGATGTCTGCTCATCACCTCAAGCTCAACCTTGACAAGACTGAACTGCTTTTCCTTCCGGGAAAAGATTGTCCCACTCTTGACTAGGGATGCCAGCGATTATTCGATTAATCGTTACAGTCTCCATAATCGAATATTATTTTTAAAAATCGATTTTATTTATATATATTTTTTATTATTATTATTTATTTTTTTCTGGCTTAGTTTCAACCAAAATATCGACTAATGCTAATAATAGTAATAGTATTAACAATTGTAAATGGCCATTGGTCACACCACCAGTTTGTTTTACTGTAAACTTGGAGGAAGCCTGCGTGCAGAGCAGACTGCTGCTGCAGCACGCTACACACCGCCCCCACCCCCACCCTCCCTCACACGTGCGACTAAAGATGAACAAAGCGGCAGGTAAAAAGAGTTCCTCCTCGTGGAACTACTTCGAACTTATAAGTACAAAGGAAGTGAAATGCAAGCTCTGCGAAAAGACGTTGGTCTATCATAGCTCAACCTCAGCAATGCGTTCGCATTTGACAGCCTACAGCCTGTATTAATAATAGCATTGCGATAAATAAATTGCTATAATAATATTTATTGCAATGCTGCTATTTTTAACACAAGCCGTAGCCTGTATTTAATAATGGCAGCATTGCAACAAATACATTGTGCACGCATAGCGCATCTCCAAATAAAGGTAATGGCAGGCACTTTAGAAAATAACAAAAAATAAACCAACATCATGTTGATGTTGGTTTATTTGTCGCTTATTTTGTTTGTACTGTTAAACATGTTCCAGTAAAGAAAACAACGGAATTCCTTTTGTCTGTATTTATTTATTTTTTGTTTAGCCCGGGGGGGAGGGGGGGGGGGATCGAGTCGATTAATCGATTATTATTCGCCAGGGCTGCCGAATAATCGATTTTGATCATGGTCAGTTTCTGGCAACCCTACTCTTGACCTAACAATCAACATCGGCACCTCAGTTGTTTCCCCGACTCAGACTGCAAGGAATCTGGGTGTGACCCTAGATAACAACCTGTCCTTCACTGCAAACATCGCTGCTACAACCCGTTGCTGCAGATACACGCTTTACAACATCAGGAGGATGCGTCCCCAGCTGACACAGAAAGCGACTCAGGTTCTGGTCCAGGCTCTCGTCATCTCATGCCTAGACTACTGCAACTCCCTCCTGGCTGGTCTACCTGCATGTGCCATCCGACCTCTGCAGCTCATCCAGAATGCAGCGGCTCGTCTGGTCTTCAACCTTCCTAAATTCTCCCACACCACTCCGCTCCTCCGCTCCCTTCACTGGCTTCCGGTAACTGCTAGAATCCACTTCAAGACACTGGTACTTGCTTACCGTGCTGCGAATGGATCTGGCCCTTCCTACATCCAGGACATGGTTAAACTGTACACCCAGCGCGTGCACTACGCTCTGCATCAGCCAAACGACTCGCTGCACTCTCGCTGCGAGGGGGACCCAAGTTCCCATCAGCAAAAACACGTGGGTTTGCTATCCTGGCTCCAAAATGGTGGAATGAGCTCCCCATTGACATCAGGACGGCAGATAGCTTGCACATCTTCCGGCGCAGACTGAAAACTCATCTCTTTCGACTCCACTTCGAGCGATAGAATTACTAACAAATAACTGCTAACAAAGCACTTATATACTAATAAAGGACTGGCTTATCTATAGCCAGTTGAGTAGCACTTGAAATGTTTGGCTCTATGAACTCACCTCTGGGTTTTCTTTCTTTTATTTTTAAATCCTCCTTCTTTTGCCTTTAGCCTATTTTTCAAACACAACTTGAAAGATTAGTGTGTTAGGATTTTCAAATCTTTGCATTTTGAAACGTCATTACTGAACAAAGGTGGGAAGTAACTGAGCAGATTTACTCAATTACTGTACTTAAGTAACATTCTGAGGTACTTGTACTTTACAAGAAAAGAGAAGAGAGAGAGAGAGAAATATATTTGCGAGTTGCATATGAACCTATGATATGAACTCAGGGCCGGTCCGTAGCCCTGGCGTTATAGATGTTCGCCTAGGGCGCCAGATCTGTGGAGGCGCTGCGCTGACAGCTCTGGGAGGGAAAAAACATTTTTGACCGTTGGGGCTCATCCTAATTTTCGGCCTTGATGTAACAATATTCACAATTAAGTAAATGTAACACCCTTTTCACCCCGGTTACACGTTTCATTTGCCCTGTACGATGGGCGCTGGAAGTGATGAAAATGGGGGATGTTGGCTTATCTGGCAACCGCAGCTCACAGCCAAAGTGCGAGTGAGCGTGGGAGAGAGGGAGGATGCACCGGTTCCGACGCTGTTGTTATTAGCATCTGGTGCTAGCTGCTCTAACGGATATAAGAAGATGTTCCTACAATAATGTGGAGGGAGAGTCCTCTCCAGTCAGACTGAGAGGCTGATACTACAGCTCAGTGAGGTAAGGACTGAGTGTTTAGATAGTTCACTTTAGTCTAAGTTCAAACGGTTTGGTCACAATTTATGTAAACACATATTTCCAAGGCACTCCTTTATAATTATTGGGATAAACAGGTTTTAAATCATTCCAATGTATACTATAGGACAGTAACCAAAAATATCCTTTAAAACTGGAAAGATAAAAAAAAATGCATAAATAAATGAATGTTAAGGTAAAATAAGATATGAATGAACAACACAAATAAAATAAGTTACATCCATTTGTTATTGGCTATGGTAGGTTATTGGTTATGTTCACATACTTATTTGATTACATCCACTTGTCTAAGATGACAACAGAGACTTTCGACCCAAACCCAGCTGTTGACTTGTGGATGCAAGCAGCTAATCACAGACTCAACCAGAGAGAAAGTAGTAGGCCTACATCATCAGCTACCATGTCTGACAGAGAGGAAGACAGTGAGGAGAACAGTCAGGAGGGTAGTGATGACAGCTTGTAGGATTACTGGTCGTGCTAATGTTGTCTTGTGTTCACCTCTGCATGTGTGTTCAGTGCCGTGTGTCTGGCAAATAAAGTCAAGACCCCTCAAAAGTTACGGTTTATTTCATTTTAAGGATGAGCACCAAGCAACATCTCCAGGTGCTGCTTTGAGAACCAGGGCAAAAAGGTTATGTGCACCCCTGTCTATAACAGAGTATTCCTACAGTCTGGTACTTCTACTTTTACAAGTGCAAGATCTGAGTACTTCTAAGTACTCAAGTACAATATCTGAGTACTTCTACTTGTACTCAAGTACAAGATCCTAGTACTTCTAAGTACTCAAGTACAAGATCTGACTACTTCTACTTTTAAAGCGAACCTGCAGTATAAAGTCATTAAAAACACACACACACACACGTTACCTCTCTCTCTCCTCTTCGTCCTGGTTCTTCAGTCTTTCTTCTCCTTGATAAAACACTGCCGTTAAACACACTAATCTCCCTTTAATGCCTTTACTTATGTTTACCGATCAGCGACGTGGTATAAAAAGCTACGAACAAAAAACGGCAACAAAAACACGGTTTAACGGATGAAAGCACGGATAAATCACCCTCCAGGGATAACCTAACTATTTGTATGTGTTTTAAAAGTCTCTTAAATACATTACATTCGGTATAAGATCTGCATCAACGTATGTTAGCAACGTGGAGCTTCTGAGGACCGGAAGCTAGAAACTGACCGCCGCAATGCATTTTGGGATTTTAGTTTTTCTTTTAAACATAATTTCACTGCCCCCTGTGGTGAAACAACTAACGGTGTTAAAATAAATAATTACATTATTATTATTATTATTATTATTATTATTAATAATAATAATAATAATAATAATAATAATAATAATAATAATAATAATAATAATAATAATAATAATACAAAATAATAATATATAAACATGGGACAGATTTTAAACATTGGGAAAAATGTTTTTGTTTATAATAAAAAGCATAAAACACATCCAGTAAAAGATAGGATAAAGCACCAATGAAAAACAGCTACAATCTCACCTCCTCCAACGCCCCAAAAGCATGTCGGAAAAGGTGAGTCTTTAGCTGTCCCTTAAAAACCTCCACTGAGACAGAGGCTCTCAGTTTCTGGGGGAGTTCCTTCCATAGGGACCACCGCCTCAAAGGCAAGGTCCCCCTTAGTTTTTAGCCTGATTCGGGGCACCCTTAAGAGGCCTTGCTCGGAGGACCTCAGGGCCCGGGTTGTCCTGTGAGGGTGGATAAGGTCGTTAATGTAGGCGGGGGCTTGGCCATGGCCAGCTCTATATGTGTAAACCGATACCTTACATTGGGTTCTGAGATGGACAGGGAGCCAGTGCAGGGCAGAAAGGATCGGAGTGATGTGGCATGTTTTTTTGTACCGCGTGAGTAATCTGGCTGCAGCATTTTGGACCTGTTGTAGCCGGTTTATTGATGTTTTGTTGAGGCAGGAGAACAGAGCATTACAGTAATCAAGCCGGGATGAAATAAAGGCATGGATAGCCATCTCCAGTTCTGCATTGGATAGAAAGCTCCTGAGCTTGGCAATGTTCCTGAGGTGGAAAAAAACAGGTACGGGTCAGGAGTTTGATGTGTTTGTCTAGTAGCATAAACTGATCGAAGGTTACACCAAGGTTTTTTATGTTTGCCCTAACGTTACCACTAAATGAACCCAAGTGGCTTGCTACCTTAGAGGCGATGTTATCAGCCGCTGAGATCAAGACTTCCGTTTTTGATGCATTGAGCTGAGCTGTAGGAAGTTGCTTGATATCCACTCCTCAATGGCAGACAGACATGTAATCAGGGTGTTTAAATTCTCCGTTTTGACGGGTTTGAAAGAGAAATATATCTGGATATCATCTGCGTAACAGTGATACGAGACACCCTTGAATTGGCTAATTAAGGGGCCTAATGGGAGCATGTAAAGGGCCAAAAGAAGGGGGGCTAACACAGAACCCTGGGGCAGGCAGCAGGATAGGGGAGTGCTGTGTGATGAGAACGGGCCCACGGCCACGGAGAAACTTCTCCCACTGAGGTACGAGGCAAAACACTGACGGGCAGACCCTGAGATGCCTACCCACTCCCTGAGTCTATAGCATGATGGCGTGGTCCACTGTGTCAAACGCTGCACTCAGGTCCAACAACACCAGAACCACGCAATCACCTGCATCCGATGCCGTCATAATGTCATTGGAAACCCTGAGTGATACGAATAAGAATTAAATGCATTATTGTTTTCAAACATTTTTATATAAAACTTGAAAACAATATTGAATTAGACATTTAGTCAACAAATAACAAAATAAAACAGAAAATATAATAATGAAATAAATAAAATAAAATATATAAATAAATCACAAAAACATGAAAAAATATATTTAAAGAAATGTAATATGAAAATAAAATGTTTACTAAAACTAAAAACACAAAGTGGTAAAAATAAGAATTAAATACATTATTTGTTTCAAACGTTAATTTTCATAAAAAACAGTTCCTTAAACCAAATTCCCCCTCGTTGGGGGATTTTTTTTTTTTTTACGACAATGTGTCTCAGAGCATCTTAATATTTAAGAACCTATTAATGTGTTATACCAGATTAACGGAAATAATCTCAGCTAACTGACCATATAAACCATTTATACCAAAACAAAACACGAGTCTCATAAGAAGCATCTAAATGACCCCTGAGCGAAAATGCTAACGCACTTTGGCACAGAACTCAAGATAAAAGTACCCTTATTACTTATCGTAGCTGCACTTACAAGATATCCGATTAAAGCTGAGGTTCCACAGATTATATAGGTATAGTATCATCACTGAGCGATCCGAACTCTTGACAAGGGAAGCAAACACAGACATCACAACACTTACCTTTACGGAGCTTCTAGGGAGATCGTCTCACCGTAGCTATCAATCTGATCAAAAAACGTGTTCAATGGCATTAAAATGAGAAAAAACGCGGCTGAATCGGTTAATCCATAGGTTGATAATGTTTCTGGGTAATCATTTTTTTAATTTATAATCCATAATTCCATTTTTATGTAAAAATCGGAGAGTAAAGGCTCGGGGGCTTAAAGAATATTCACTCAAATTAAGCAAATGCAATTAAAAAAGAAAACCCTTGATGAAAAAGCCTTTATACATTTAACAGATGTTATTAATGTAGTGAAACCACCAGGGGAAGTGTTCGGAGATGTCTGAAGTATTTGTTGCACTTGACTTTATAACAGGGACGTTATTTAATATCGCATTGCAGTCTGCTTTACTAGTTAAAGAAAGACAACAATTGTCTCATTATTGGACAATTACAAAAGAGGCTTCGTGTTGATGGATGTTTTTATTAAAAATGACACAATTTAATATCATTTTTTTAACCTGTTCCTATTGGTCTGATCCAGTCAGCTGACCTGGGACAGATCATGTGACCCAGCTGCTGTTTTGATAGGAATAAATAAGGCTTGTTTGAGACAAGCGAGACCGACGCAGACCTGCGCAATTGCGATCAACGTCTTGCGTTGCATGATGGTTTGTCATTTTGTCCGACTTGCTCTGGAGGCTCGCCTACATGAGACGTTGAAATCTCGCGGACAAAGACGCGCCGCGCAGACTTGAGAGTGAGGCGAGAGGCTTGTTTGAGACGCGTTGCGGCTCGCCTCGAAAGTAGACAAGAATAGCCGATCGCAGCCGGGGGACGTCTCAAAAAGGTCGGCTGAAGTCAGTCGGACGGCTTCTTCTCTTTCTTCTGTCTCTTCTCTCTCTTCTTTCGGATTATTATTCTTAGGACGGGAGCGAGTTTTATGCTGCTGGATTCTGTCTTCTTATTCTTCGGATCCTATTCTTCTTCTTATTCTTATTATTATTATTCTTCTTGTCGTCTTCTCTCTTCTTCTCCTTCTTCTTCTTCATTCTTCTTCTTCTTTTCTTCTTTTCTTCTTCTTCTTCTTCTTCTTCTTCTTCTACAGCTTGAAGGTGCATACTGCCACCTCCGGAGTCGGCTTGACTCGGTTTGCATTTATAAAGAATGCACACGTGTTTAATCGTTAATGTCAGATATGTACTAAGTAAATACATTTGTTCCTGCTCAAGATTAGATTAAACTTTATTGTTATTGCACATATTACAGGTACTGAGACAACGGAATGCACTTTAGCTTCTAACCAGGTGCAACAAGCAGTAAAGTGAAAAGTAATGTCCACAATCTACAGAATAAAATATAGAATGAATTGAATGATGAATAAACAGTGAGGGGTATGAATACACTAGATATACACAGCAGCCTGTGAGCAGTATGAACAATGTGTATGAATATGCTAAGATATATAAAGCATGAAAACGGTAAGCAGTGCAAATATAGATATTAATTTTAATAAACATTGTGGAACAATGATGAAAAATGGGAATGGATGTGGCGACGTAAAACTGACACAAAACAACAACAAACTTTTGCCGAGCCAATTGGAGAGTTTCATCACCAGCACGGGGTAAAAACCACCAATGAGCGCTCAGCTCGAGATACCAGCGAGTCGTTTCCCATCAAGCATATCGTTTCTTCAGCTCGTGCAGAGGAACTGCGCCACCTCATCACGCCCAAGCCCATAGGAAGTGCGCCGGAGTCTGATGAGAATATTCGTGCTGGTCAAACGGCGGTACTACACTTCCTTTAGGTTGCTGGGCCCGGAAACACTTTTTCCCATTGACTTACATGGGGAAAGAGTGGTCTGTAACTCGTTGGATAATTTTTTAAAACTAAATAAACCTACCCAGTATGAACGTTTGTATAGCCCCTTATTAAAAACATTCGTTCCTCAAGTTGTAAAATGTGCTAATAACGTTATTCTGAGAGTTATTTCCCTTGGCATTATGAACGCGCATCTAACATACGGGACCGCGCCGCCCGGCACGTTCATGTTAGGTGTTCAGCACTACATGAGTTTCTCTTTACCCATGGATGCACAATAACAACGGACCATATCGCCTTACTGCCCATGGAGCTGTAATAATGGATATATTGCACATGTTTGCTGTAATTAATAATTTGTAAAATATTATACTACATGGGCTGTATGATGTAAATCTTATACCGTAAATGTTTTATTAAATAAAGTTAATATTACCGACGTAGATTAACGTTCCTGTAGCTTCTTATTGCACTTGCAATTGTTTTAGTTACTTGTGGGCTACTTAACATGAATAATCACAGTTACTCTCCTTTTACTCCATCACATTTCAAAAAGAAATAGGCTATTGTTATTTTAACTCCACCACAGTAATCCATCATCAGCTTTAATTTTTAGATAAAGTTTTAACTCACAATTGATCATGCTTCAACATATACATTTGTATATATTACCAAGTGGTTTCATGTACAACCCACACAAGTATCATGCTAAATGAAGCTCTGTTGCTTGGATATCACTAGATCCTGATGTCAGCGTAATATAAAGTACATAACGATTGATGTGTAACTTAGCATAATTTACTAGCTAGCCGCTAGCTGCTAACTGCCGCCTCGTTAATATAAATCCAGTACCATGCTGTCATGAACGCGCGGTGCTGTTACGTGTACGCAAATTCACGTGCCTAATGTGAACGAGCCTTTTGGGCGGCGTGGTTACAGTTGCGCATGCTCTATGAGTGCACATACGGGTACTTCTCAGGCATGCCGGGTAATCTGTGACGTTACGCTCTCTCA